ATGTTCTTCATTTAACTCCAACTAATAGATTAAAGTGTCATTTTTTTAATGCAGCCCCAGGTCTTTGTGCAATATAGCATAATATGTGAGGCAGCATGGGGAAATCGGGCACTTGTCAAAATGGTGAAATCGAGGAAAAAGGCATTTTCCCGTAAGTTTGGCAATTTTTATCGAAATGTTGTTTTTTGGCTAAACACCTTTTATGTCCATATGAAAACACATTTTCATGTGAATTTTACTGAGTTTTCAAGGACTCTTAAACTATCGAAGTTACCTAAATTTGGTGGCCATTTTCTAATTAATGTAACCACTGAAACGATGCTACCCCACCTTCTTCAATCGCAAATATCTCAACTTCTATTCAAGCAAGATGGATTTTTTTTCCATTGAAAGCAAGGCAAATGACTAAGCTTTCAGATCATACCAATAACTCGACATGCCCAAAAATTGATGAGCGCCTGATTCCACTGCGTCGTGACACATAATATATACAATGGGGCACAGACAAATCATGGATAGCTTATATAATTTGCCACTCCCCAACTCATATCTCTTTAATATTCCGGTATAAGGTTTACCACAATTATAGATGTGTCAAACACATTTATTGTCAGTTCGTGACGTGTTTGAATGATCCCTGCTCAACTAGCTATGATCGTGCTGAATCCCCATACACGAGTCTCAAAAGCTATTATAATATATTGGAGGAAAGGGTGGCCAGTTTGAGACATGATGGCAACTGAATATCAATACATAATACATATTATATTTGTGAAAGTTCGTCACTTTCGTCGCCTTAAACTTCCGAACCACTTAACTTTTGAATTTGACAAAATTAAAGGTTGTTCGGAATCATTTAAAGGGTGCACATTTTTATAGAGGAGCATGAAGTCACTAGTTTAATTTTAAGTTTTTCATTAGTTTCGTTTAGATCTAATCTTGGGAAAGTCCGTCTTCTAAGACGCCATTGTAAGCAAGTGAGGTTTCCGTTCACTAACCATGCGCAGAGTTTCCACAATGACTTGATGATCGACGATTATTTTAAGTATGTTAATCGAACGTGTACCCAGTTAGTATTATATATATATATATATATACTCCTGTACATCTGTTCAATAGATTGTGTAAATATGCCAATTTCCAAATAACTTT